CTCACGATCTCTGGCACGAACCCAGTTAATGAGTAACTGTGTCGCAATAAAACAGCCTTTCATTCTGATCTCCGTGGGCATTTTGTGAGGATAAGAGTACGTTTGTTCGCCGTGGCCTGAATGAAGCGTTGTGGAGACACTAAATAATAAGGAGAGTTTTATTTGGAGGGGGGAGGGGGGAGGGATGGGTGGAAAAAGAGAGCAAAATTATCCTTTGAGGAATAATGGACACCAGATTTGCTTAAACCTATTTTTTTTCTAAGCCTGTTAATTAATGCTTGACATTTCTTATATCTTAAAATATTGACCCCCCCCCACCCTCCCCACCACCCCTCTTTTCATATAAAAATATATATTTTAAATCCTCCTCTTCCCCTTCTTACTCTCTCCCAAGTGTTAACTTAATCAGAGTTTGGACAACTATTTATTGGGGATGGGGGGGATTTTTTTTGACTTGCTAATCCAATTCAATTCACATTGATTCAAAGGTTTTTCATCTGTGTGTGTATGTGTGTGTGTGTAAAAGGGATTTTTTTTTGGGGGGGGACATAGAAAAAAAAAGTAGAAGGAAATAAATATGTGAGGAGGAGGGAGGGAGGGAGAGGGAAGGAGGGAGGGAGGGGGATGGATAACGATAAGGATAAATATGAAATAAACCAAGTGTGAAACATGTTCATGGAAGGAAGATGCAAAGGTAGAGCTGAGTTGACAGTGTACATGTGGAGGAAGGAGGAGGAAGGGAGGGAGGGAGGGAGGTGTTGGATGGGTTTTGCAGGGAGGGGAGGTGGAGGGAGCCCCCAAATACAATTGCTTTGTATTTCCAGCTCAGCCGCAGTCACGCCAACCTTGTGTGTACAAACTTTTAAGTAACAGACAATAAAGTGATCGCATACAGGTATTTGACAGCATCGCGTGCGGCTCAGGTACCAGACACTCTGGCACAGAGCCAGAGAGAGAGAGAGAGAGAGGTCCCAACGTCTGCACTGGATCACCACCCATCTGGATTTGGCCAACGTTATTAGCAACAAAATACACTGACCAAAGCCCCCCCCCCCTCCCCCCACACCTGGGTTTGACCTGAGGGTGGGTGGGGTGGGTGGCTGAGTCTGGGGGTGAGGGGGTGATGTTTGCAAAACGCCCACCTTGCAACCTTAAACCCCACCTGTTTTTTTTTGCAACCCATCAATTTTACAGCCATGCAAAAAAAAAAGAGAGAAAACAAACTGAATGTTTTAACACACCTGGATATTATTATTATTATTATTATTATTATCATTATTATTATCATCATCATCTAACAAACGCAGTGCTGCCCCTTTCGTTTTGATTACGATGCATGTATTTTATTATAGATCTATAGATAGATATAGATATATATATATCGCGATGAGGGGTGTTTTCCGTGCGATATATGTATTTTTCTTTTCCAACACAAGCAGCGGCCGTTCCGCCGATCCAGCCCGTGTTTTCCAAGGTGATGCCTTTTGCGTGCTAAACACTTTAAAAGATACCTAAGAAGAAATGGGAGCCTCGGGGCTAAGTAGGAATTCAACGTAAGGTAGCAGAACAAGAAGTTCATTCATTAAGGTGATCCACAGGAATGATACTGATTAGTGCATGTGTTATTCAAACTATTAAGGCAGTGCCCAGGGCAACAGGATAAAAGCCTACTTGCCAAACAATAATATTTAATGTTTCACAGTGTAACAGGGAGCACCAAAGCCTTGGATTTTTTTTTCTTCTTCTTTAAAAACTTTTTTTTTATACATATAAAAAAAAAGGCTCTATGTTTTTGTCTGGGATCCACCAAAATGACACATCGTTCCATCATTTCTGCAAAAAAAAATCTGAATTCCAATTGGACCCTTCCCTCTGAAGCGTTTTAACAGAAGGCTTGGCTGGTAATGACTGATAAATGATCAACGGATTGATAGGATTTTTTATTGCAAAGTTATTCGGTTTAAGGCTCGGCCGCTTTATTGTACTTGGAACGTCCAGCGTTTATTTTAATCATTTTTTTTTCTTGCCATATAAATGATATAACATGACTCTTACAAAGCTATGATTGATCCCAAGATTGGGGGGGGGAGTGTGATATCATTTATGGATTGAGGATCCAATCCACCTGATGTAACGATAATCTCCATATTGTATTTAAATACAATTAAATAATGGTAATCCGTGTATTTGACATGGCGCATTGTTATGTCTTCAAGGGGTCTTAAAGCACTCGCTTTGCAAGTGAGAGACCTGGGTTCAATTCTAGGCAGAGGGCCGAAACCTTGGGCAAGTTTCCTTACTCCACACACAGCCCAATAATAATCCCTCCAAAACCAAAAACAATAATAAATTGGTCATTTTCAATCTACGACTGTTTGTGGGACATTGCTGTGCGCAATTGGCTGCCGCGTTCGCCCACAAATATACAGTCAGTTCACTTTACAGTGTGTTCTGTGAAGCGCTTTGGGACGTCCTCCCGACGTGAAAAGCGCTATATCAAATGCAAAGATTATTATTATTATTATTATTACTACATGATTTACTGTAGTAAAGTAGTGACTGGTATTCTAGTGGAGGCAAACAAGGCTCACAGACATGAAATGAATAACCGATTTCATCACTGCTTCTGTGTGACTGTACCCACTACTTATTTCATTTGCACCTTTGAATTTGGACTTATTTTAATTCCAAGAGTGGACCTAATGTCCGACCTTGATTCAGTGATGTGATTTGCAAAGTATTTTAGCAAAATCAATTTGCAACCCAGTGCTTTGTACTGACCAAAAGCAATGTTTGACCATACACTTGCCCGGGTCTTCAAGAACTGATCACATAATATATATATATATATATATATATCATTGGAGTTATTTATTTTTCAAAGGGTGAGATGTTTTCAAACAATAGTGGTGAGTGCTTTTCACGAATGACTGATCATTGTGTGGGGATTGTTGCAGTTTGTTATGTTGCGGTATATGTGTTATGTTTGAGAGTTGTTCCTCTCTCTCCGCCTTTCTCTTCGAGCGATGGAGTTACGTTTGTTTTTCGTAATGGGAGAATAATAATAATAATAATAATAATACCAATTTAGCGACAGTGTTTCTCTTTGCAAATGTCTCCACTTTATTCCGTCTGAGAGCCCCATCCTCCACGGTCTCCCCCCACACCCCCTCCCCCCCACACGCCCCCCACACCCCCTCCCCCCCCACACCCCCCCACACCCCCTCCCCCCCCCCCCCACACCCCCTCCCCCCACACACCCCCCACACCCCCCACACCCCCTCCCCCCACACCCCCTCCTCTGGTTGCACTCTCCAACCCCTTTTTGGGTTATGTTTTGTTCTGCTCTGTTGATGATTTCCATTAGATATTCCCATTTGCTTTGCACAACATTTATATATATATATATACTCATCTCTCTCTTTCTCTCTCTCTCTCTTCCTCTCTCTCTCTCTCTCTGTGTTTTGCAATGACGGGATCTCACTCCAGTTCAAGGAACACGGGAATCCCGGGAATGAGAAATATCCCAGTGTTTCCCCAGGACCAGGACCCAGGACATCTGCTCCAATGCAACGGAGAGAGAGAGAGAGAGAGAAGGAGAGAGAAGGAAAAAAAAACACAATGACATTCCCAGTCCCAAAGGAGATACAAAGTAGCGCCGTGCAACCCACCTTGAACCGCCGGGGCAGCGGCTGAGCGCGCGGGGGCTCCCGGGAGCTGTGGTCCCGGCCGCCGCCGCCGCCGCTCGGGGGCGCGCCGGGGGGAACTACATCTCCCGGGAGGCACCGCGCCGGGGCTGACCGGCTCCGCCTCCTCCTCCTCGTCCCCCCCCCCCCCCCGCCCCTCCCCGCCCTCGATTGTCCGGCCTCGCTTCCGATTGGTCGGGCCGGGAGAGGAATGCGCCGAAGCGCTCGCTGATTGGTCGAGCGCCTCCCACCCCGCCCCCCCCCCCCCAGCACTCGGGGCCGACGCCCATCAGGTTAGGTTGAGCCCCGCTGGGCTTTATAGTGAGGACATGGTTCACTCTCACGCCAATAGCAGCCGCGCGTACGCAGCGGCCGGACCGTGGTTCGAGGCTCCCCACCGCCACACAGTGTGTGTGTGTGCGAGTGAGAGAGAGAGTGTGAGAGAGAGAGACTCCCATTCAAAAGGGACATTGCTGACAGTGTGAGTGTGTCTCTCTCTCTCTCTCTGTGTATATTATGGGGGGGGGTTTGGTTTGCAGAGCAACAGGACTCTGTTAAGGATTAAATAAGTCTTTTTTTTTTGGGGGTGGGGGGGGGTCTGGATTTTTTTTTTCGGGGGGGGGGGAGGAGGAGGGGAAGGGAATGGAATCGTACGTTTATACGACCTCCTTTTATGTTATTGTCTTTTTTTCATTTTTTTTTATAATATAAAAAAAATTAGATTTTTTTTTTGGATTTTTTTTTTTGGATTTTTTTTTAAAAATTATTTTTTTTTTTAAAAAAAGATGTGGAGCCAATATTGGAGAGAGAGAGAGAGAGGGGGGGGGAGAGGGGGTTCCATCACCAAAGGCATCAAGGCTGCTGGACTTGTGGTTGGGGCTTCCTGGGCTCTGATGATGCTATTTTTTTGCAGCAACTGCTGGGATGGGGGTGGAGAGCATCATCGAGATACCATATATTCCTCGGGGATTATTGGAGGAGTTTTGCAGTTTTTAGCCTCAATGCGTGTGTGGGGGGTTTTGTTTTTAATATGGGGCCGAATCGGTGGAAAAGGCTTTCGCCCTTTTTTTTTTTTTGAAAAAAAAATAATAATAATATCGCTGGAGGTTTCGAAATCAGAATTGGAGTACATCATCGAATGGTTTTTCTTTTCTGGGCGACGTTTGGCAATTGCCACCAACACCACCAACAACACCACTACTACTACCACTACTACTACTACTTCCACCACCACCACCACCTCCACAGCTTCTTTTTTTTTTGCAAAAGGTTTTCTTTTTTTCCCTCCTCCCCCCCCCAAAAAAAAAAGATTGCTTGGATTCGATCCCTTTGGAAATATTGGTGACTGGCTTTTTCTGGAGTTTTCTGGCGATTTTGGGGGGTAGAGGGGGTGAGGGGGGGGGTTTGCAGGTCGCAATTGGGATGGATGCATCGACTCCACAAGGATGTATCATCATTATTATTACTATTTTTCTTCTTCTTCTTCTTCTTCTGATTATTGTACCCCATCGATGTTTTGAAGAAAGCCTCGGGATGTACACTGCACAGGATATTAAGTGGATTTATTCTGAACACGTAACCCTGTGGATTTTTTTTTATATGATGATGATGATGATGATGGAAGAAAAAAAAACCCCCCCCACACACACACACATTTTTTTTTTGGGGGGGGAATTAATCATTGCTTTTGCAAACGGTAAGTGTCTTCTGTTATTTTTTTTTTGTGGGGGGGGGGAAAAAAGTGCTCATTTTTAACAGGTGAAATGGATAATTCATTGACTTGCAAAGCACTGATGATCAGCCTCGACCTGTGATCGTTAAGTGGGCAGTCGAGTTAAAAACAACCCCAGCATTTTTTTTCTCTCTATTATATATATATATATGTATATATGTACAGAAAAAAGAATAGATTAATAGATGACAAATGCACTGTTCAGTTGGGAGCAGTGATTTACTACAACGAAGTGTCGTGACAGGACGTTTGCACCACACAAATAGTGTGTGGGCACACAATTGCACTATTATTTGCCTTTTATTTATTTTTGGGTGGGGGGGTGACCTTCTCCAAACCCTTAGGTTTGGAAAGCATTGCCATCCCGTTACTTTACCTCGAAATGTAGGTCCGGATCAGGTTCTGATGGAGGGCAGAAGTATTTTTTTCTCTCCCCCTCCCCAATTTTTTGCATTGCAATTGGTGCGTATGTGTGCGTTTTTGCAGCAATCAAATCAAATGGGGAGGGAGGGAAGGGGGTGGGTGGGGGGGGGGGGAGGTTTAACACCTCTCAATTAAGCACAGGTTCTTGCAAATGATGTGAACGTGTTTATTCCTGCTCCCCCCCCCTGCAGCCCCCACTGCACCAGTTGTTAACCAGCAAACCCTCCTTTAACCAGTCCTCTCCACTGGTGTCTCGGTTGTGACACTGACCCACAGTGATGGGGCAGAACATTGCTGTGGGTGATCCAATGCACCTGATTTGAATGGCAACCCACGTCCCCCCCCCCCCCCCCCACCGCCCCCCCGCAGCTCTGGGCTCTTTGCTTACACCACATGGAGTGTGCTGAGTGTCAGGCAGTCTGCATTCTGATAGTCCAAGCATTTGTGAGTGAGTGTGTGTGTGAGTGAGTGAGTGTGAGTGAGTGAGGGGAGAGGGTAATGCTTTAACGCATTGCTGTGCATTTGAACTAACCTCCCACTTTCCTGAAGTTTCATCCCCCTCTCTTTCTCTGTCTCTCTCTCTTTCTCCACCTTAAGACGGTGTGAAACAGCCGAGGTGGTGTTCAATTCCTTCTGCTGCCCTTCCTTCCTTCTTTCCTTCCTTCTCTCTCTCTCTCCAGCAGATGCACCTGTCAAGTCGCCCTACAGAGCAGCTCAAAGTGCTTTGCTCTGTCGATTCCTTGACTGTCATAGGTGCCTCTCAATGGGAAAGTGAGAACCACTTTGCATTTAAACCCCCAAAGGCCAATTGCGACATAACAGGGATGGAGTCTCTATTGTAACACACACACACAGGTTGGGTTGAAATTGGACACAAGACATTCCCAGCAGTCGTTCATCCCGGTTCAGAGCTTGCAACTGGAATTGGCATCCCAACCATCACGTTTCCCTGCCGCGTTCGCCCACAAATATACAGTCAATTCACTTGACAGTGTGTTCTGTGAAGCGCTTTGGGACGTCCTCCCGACACGAAAAGCGCTATATCAAATGCAAGGATTATTATTATTATTATTATTGTCCCATTATTGCTGTAGAGGTAGAAAAGATGGTGATTGATGACGATGATAATCCTTGCATTTGACATCACGCTCTTATCGCGTCGTGGAGACGCCTCAAAGCGCTTCACAGAACGTGCCGGAACACTTAAAAGTGGATGGAGTGACTGTGTTTTTCTGGGCCAAGCGAATAATGGCAATTCAGAGTTGCTGCAAACCAACCGCAAGCCCTGGCTTCCTGCTTGCCCTTTAACAAAATATCATGTGGTCCAAGAGGATGTATTGTTCTTGTGTGTTTTACAGACTTAATTTTGGGTGCTGTACAGTTTGTTTGGAAGGCAATGTGTGCTCTATTTCCCTCTCTCTCTCATCAATTCTATTCTCGCCCCCCCCCCCCCCCCTCTCTATCTTATTCCCTTTCTCTCTTGAACTAGTGTAAGTATGGAGTCCAGAAGCGTAGTGGTTAGAGCACTTGCCTCGCAAACGAGAGGACCCAGGTTCTCTCTTCTACCCACCCACTCCTTAACCAAGCTTCACTTGGAGATGCTGAAGTCTGTGGAATCAATCAATTGCTCTCGCTTTCTCTTTCGCCCACCACCCCCCTGGGCTGAGAGTGAACGATCACATCACAGACCAGAAATCGAGCCTTCCTCGTCTGTGTTGCTCAGTACCACGTTTTACATATTGCATTTTGCCCACTTGGGGTTTTTAATTTCCTGTCTGAATAAACCGAGCTCTCCCTAGCACCACTTTAAGGATACTTGTGGGCTTTTTCCTTCCACCTACTTTTCCTGTGATTGTATTTTTTTTAAAAAAATAGAAAAAGTACTACAGCTGTTTTGTAGATTCTCTGGGTATATACATTGTGCACATATATTGCATTTCCCCCCCATTTGCCTTCAGGAGTACAATAATATAAAGGCACATTCTAGCCAACTTCAATACATTGAGGAGCTTTCACTTTCTGGAGCTCTGTAGGTTTTGGCTTGAAGTAAAATGGAAACATTAACTAGTGTAAAGTTAGTTTTCCTGTAATCTTGTGATTATCCTTTGGTGGCAGTTTAAGCAAGTCGATGTGACATTGTGGTCAACAATAACAGCAACAAATTGCATTTATATAATTTTTTAATGTTGAGAGGCTGTTCCAAGATGCTGGACAGTCAAGGGTTTGCACCAGAGAGGAGTGGAGGGTTAGGGGGTGGGAGGATGACTGAATGGGCGGTCAAAGAGAAAGGTTTTGGGATGCACCTTGGAGGGGGCAAGGGAGAGGCCAGGGCAAAGGGTCTCCGTAATGGAGTTCCAGAGGGTGGGGGCAGAAAGGCTGGAGGGATAGGGTGGGGGACATGAAGCCGGCCAGTGCCAGATTAGCAATACAAAACGAAGTCTCTGGGAACATGCAGCAGGTCAGGCAGCATCTATGGAGAGAGGAAAATGTTTCCTGTTTCAGGTGAATGAGTCAATGTTTCAGGTCGATGACTCTTCCTCAGATGAGAAGTTCATGGACCTCAAACCTGTGGTGTCTGGAAAGTGTTAACTAAAATTTGCCAAAAAAAGTTATAATGTGGCCTTCATTTTATGAAATGGGTTTGAATCTCTCTTGACCTGGCTTTTTGCCCTGAAAGAGAAAGTGAAATCACCTCTCGCGGTTTGCAGGTTAGACTAGCAGGAAAATGGAAACAAGATTATTACCCTCAGGGCTTCTGAAATTATTCAGCTCATACCAGCGCCCATTAAAGTAAAGTGCTGCATTCACCTACCTACAAGCAGAAGACTTGACTTTAATAGCAATGAAACCAGAGGAAACGAATTAAAAAAAAAACACGCGCCATTTGTAGCAAGCCCATACAGTCCTTCCGATGTGACGTTAAATCAAGGTCCCGTCCACCTGCTCAGGTGGATGTTAAACGTCCCGTGGCACTGCTTGAAAGGGAACAGAGTTTCTCCCGGTGACCTGACCAACAGTCCAGTCCCAGCAAATAAAATGGATCATTCACTGAGTAGCTGGTTGTGGCATTTTGGCAAATTGGCTGCCACTTCGGTCGAGAAAATATGCAGTTGCTCCATTTTACAAGAAATCCTGTGAAGTGCTTTGGAATGTCTTAAGAGGCACTGTATTGGATTCACATGCAAGGTATTTCACTTTGGGTTTAAAAAAAAAGAACAATATAACCATATAAAGGCCATTTTTTGTGCTGCCTGGGATATTTTCTTGAAAAGGGTGAGCATTCATTCATTTAGGTGTAGTATTCATTCATTCATTCAATCATTCATTCATTCATTCATTCATTCATTCATTCATTCATACTGTGGTACAACTTGTGAGCCAAAATATAGAGGTGAGAGACTTGACTAAAGAGTTTGTGTGCATTCTCACTTCAACTTCAACAGGAGTCCTGTAGCTCAGAGCACTCGCCTCGCAAGTGAGCGACCTGGGTTTGATTCCCAGCAGGGTGAAACCTTGGGCAAGCTTCCTTACTCCACACGCCTGATAATAATCCCTCAAGAAAATAAAAAATAATAAATTGGTCACGTCACTCCACGACTGTTTGTGGGACACTGCTGTGCGCAATTGGCTGCCGTGTTTTGCCCACAAATATACAGTCATTTTATTCATTTTCAATATATTCTGTCCAGAAGACGTGAAAAAGCCCTATGTCAAATGCAAGGATTATTATTGTTTATTTAACTTCCCTCCCAGCTTGGGGAAAAGGCACAGTGATGGTTCAGTTGCCTGTTCCCACAGCACATTAACCTGCAGCTGGAGACTCGCTCCCTATAGAAGAGATGCCTCTTCTCTTGGTGTTGGGTTTGGTCTTTGCATGTCCTCCAATGCTTACCATGTATCAGCAATCAAAGGTCTACTGTGACGATTCAGTAACTTCTGATGCCTTTTTTTTGTTTAAAAAGGCTCTTGACACAACCTCTCCGAGGCTTATTTTCAAATGTGTGCCTACCAACAGTCACTGCACTTCACAGTAAGTCGCTGTGAAGCGCTCTGATGTTTTGACGATGTGATAAGGTACCAGATCGAGGGCGAGAATTCTTAGTTTAGCCATGAAAGGTAGCTTCAGTAGTTCGCATATTTTTCAGCTGTGTCAACTATACATACGTTCAAATAAAAGCTGCATTATAGCCGCAGCCCAGTATGGAGACACCTGGCGTGGGTTTTCCATGCTGCTCACTTCACATTTCCAGAAACCGTATCCATTTTTAATCGTTCCAAATGCAGCCGATACAGAGCCTGCCTGTATTGCTGGGTCCACTGCAGATGCTCGGATCATATTTTTGTTTTAAACCAAGCTTGGATGATGGACAGGCAAGGCAATTAGTCAAGTGTCCCAGAAGACTCGCACTTGTGAGCTATGGTGAGATACATTTGCTTGCTGACCGACTTTCAGCAAATGCACCAGATTGGAAAAACACTGGGCTGGGAGCCTTTAATGCGAAACTGGGTTCAGTTTGTTTAATAATAATCCTTGCATTTGA